CCGAGCCAGGGGCGGGGGAGGGGAGGCGCCGCCAGGGACCGCGTGAGTCGCCCCGGCCTGAGCAGCCCTGACCACTGGAGCCCTGCAGCTCCCGGGAGCGCCGGCGTCTTTCCACCCTCGCTGCGCCCGGCTCCCTTGCAAAGCTCCGCACCCCCAGCCCAGCCCGCGCGCCTTCTCCCCGCGCCTGGGTGCGAGGCGAGCTCCGGCCCAGAACGCAGCGCCTGGCTCCAGGCACGACCCCACCATCCGCCTCCCTTGCCAGTGCTTCCATCTGCCCTGCTTATGCAGCTCCCGGGAGCGCCGGCGTCTTTCCACCCTCGCTGCGCCCGGCTCCCTTGCAAAGCTCCGCACCCCCAGCCCAGCCCGCGCGCCTTCTCCCCGCGCCTGGGTGCGAGGCGAGCTCCGGCCCAGAACGCAGCGCCTGGCTCCAGGCACGACCCCACCATCCGCCTCCCTTGCCAGTGCTTCCATCTGCCCTGCTTACCGCCGCTCCCTGGGAGGCTCCGTCCTCCCCAAGCCCCTTGGCTGGGCTGCCCTGCGCTTGTGTCCTGCCTGATGCCTGGCTGGTGATTCTTGAGGGGTGCGAGTGGCTTTCCTGGGTGTTCCTGCAGCGCACGCGTCCTAACCCTCCTGCAGGGCTCTGGGCCAGGCTGTGAAGCTAGGGTTGGGTCAGCTGCTGGGCTCTTTAAACCAGTAGTTCTCAAACTTTTCGGGCTCCGGACCCCTTTAGATGTGTAAAATGTATGCGGCGCCCCAGCGGTCCACTGATTGTATGAGTTGTACCTATCCATGTTTCCAGTTTGTCAACCTCACGGAGCCCCTGGAGATGTCTCGTGGAGCCCCTGGGGCTCCGCAGAGCACAGTCTGAGAAACATTGCTTTAAACCATTGCAGGCTGATGAGCTGCTGGGCGTCTGGGCAGAGATCACAGAGATGCACCAGCTCCAGAGGATGAGGAGGCTTGTGGGGGCCAATTGCCTGCTCCGGAGATGCAGCGCTACTTGGAGGAGCTCTACCAAAAATGCATCTTTTTCAGAAGTGCTGCAACTGGAGGATAAAAAGCTCACTGGTCTAGTTTTCCCTCTCCAGGGGCTAGAAAAATATCTAACCCCCGGTGTGAATACGGCAAGTTTCCGGACTTTCAACCCTAGCCTGGATGACATCCACAGGGCAGAGGCGCTTTTCAAACCCTCCAGCAAACATGTGATTGATTATTTCAGTTCTGCTGTCCGCATGGATCATGCCCCACAGCTGTCGCAGCCAGAGGTGAGGTCATTTCCAGGGATGCTTTTGAGAGGAATATGGTACTCTTGCACCTATGGCCAGAACCCACGAGGTGGGGAGACTAGCCTTTCCTTTTCCCATCTGCTCGCTCCTGAAGTCATGTATTTGCATGCTGTCATTTAGGCGGTTGGCTTGGCTAAGTGGAATCAAAAGAGTAGCCTCAGCCTCCTCTGAACCCTAGGATCAATGAGCATGATTTTATGTAGAGAAATCTGCCCTGTACTGTCAATTCCCTCAGACTAAGTGGGGCATTTTTGCCTACGCTGGGCAGAAGAGCTAATGGAAGCACAGCTCCTGAAGGACCTGGGATCCAACAAATAAACTAGAGCCTGGCCTTTTTACAGATATCCCAAGATTTTACAGATCCTGGAAATGGTCTCAAGTTACAGTGGGAGAGGTCTAGGTTGGATATTAGGGAAAACGATTTCACTAGAAGGGTGGTGAAGCACTGGAATGGGTTCCCTAGGGAGGTGTTTAAGTCTCGGCTTGACAAAGCCCTGGCTGGGTTGATTTTGTTGGGATTGGTCCTGCCTTGGGCAGAGGGCTGGACTTGATGACCTTCTGAGGTCTCTTCCAGCTCTGTTACTCTATGATTAAGCAAGGTGGCAGGGCAAAGCCACAGGTAGGACAGTTACATGTCAGGGCTAGGGATGTTAGTGAGTACTCAACTATTCTTCCTCCCACCCCTGCTATATGAGAGGCGGGAGAGGAGGGGGGCAAACAGGAGCCAGTGCTGGGGGGAGCTTGCTTTAAAAGTGGGTTACCCCCCAGCACTGTCTCCCAAGTGCTGTTTCCTCCTCCCACCCCTCCTCCACTGCCGCTGCATCTGAGGCAACGGTGGGGATAACGAATGCTGTTCTGGCAGCAGCCCTGTCCGCTGGCTGCTGGACTCTGTGTGAGCCGGGACCGAGCAGTCCCGGCTCAATCTGATCTGGGACACTGCACCTCTGTGTTTTAAATGTAGTAAAAGCCCAGTGGCTCTTACTACATTTGAAATGCAGAGCTGCAGCGTGGGTGGCTCCAGCTGGCTCCAGGAGCTATCCTCACTACGGCTCTGCAAAGCAATCCTTATTGAGTAATTGTGTAATCGATACAAATTGTATTGACTACACAATTAGCCAGATAATGGCAATTTAACATCCTGAGGGCTACTAAGTTTTGTGCCTAACTTGGCCCTTCCTGCAGCTTTTTTTTAATAGCAGCGTATGAACTAACACCAAGACATTCCCTGAAGGCAAGTGTGTCTTAGTTGTGTATATGGCCCCCATTACTGTGGTATCTGAGCACCTCACAATCTAGAACAACACCCCTGTGAAGTTGGGATGTTAAATATTGATTAATTAACTAATCACATAGGTGATGGGATTTCCATCAACTATTCCATTAGTTGATAAGGACTAGCATGGGGTTCTGCCTTTGAAATGTTGGAAAGCTGCGTGGAGCCTGGGGCCAGCAGGGAGCCCCCCCGCTGACCCCAGTCTCCATGCAGGCGTTTCCACTTTGAAATGTACAAGAACCCCAGTGGGGTTTCTTATACGTTTCAGAGAGGAAGCACTGCATGGAGCCTTGGGTCAGCGGGGGACTCCGCTCTGGGCATGGGCTCCAGCAGGCACCCTTGAACATTTCAAAGCTGGAAAGCTGCCCCTGCCCCTCCCACGGAGCTGAAGCTGAGGGGAGCTGGCTTTTAAGCTGGCTCCACCCCCCACACTCTCTCCTCCTACCCCCCACCCCTGCTGCCTCTTGTGATAGAGGCAGCAAGGGGGGGGGGGGGGGCGAGGAAGCAACTAGTTGACTAGTGTGACTACTATCCGATAAGCTTTTGCTTATTGGATAGTTGCTTAGTCACTTACATCCCTAATGTGAAGTAGGAAAGTGCTATTATCCCCATTTCACAGATGGGGAACTGAGAGGCTACATGACTTACTCAGCTTCACTCAATAAGTCTATGGCAGGGTCTTGAACTCAGCTCTTCCAAGTCCTACGTGAGTGCCCTGCTCCTTGGACCATCTTTCCTCATCCTAAGGTGTTAAGAACTAATTGGGAGTTTGCACAGTTAGGGTTGGAGAATTAACAACGGTATCTCCTTTCTCCTGTCTTTCTCCAGGTGTGCTTTGTGGGCAGAAGCAATGTTGGGAAATCCTCCTTAATAAAGGCCTTGTTTTCATTGGCTCCCGAAGTTGAAGTCAGAGTGTCAAAAACTCCAGTAAGTGAGGTTTTGGAATTCCTTCCATCTCATTGGGAAGCTCTTGACAGTCAGGGGAGACAGGAGAGAGGCTAACCATAGCTCTGCAGTAATGCAAAACTCTGGGGCTGTGTCTACACTGGGCCACTTATTCCAGAAAATCAGCCGCTTTTCCGGAATAAGCTGCAAGCTGTCTACACTGGCCCTTGAATTTCCGGAAAAGCAACGACACTCTACTGTACAAAATCAGCTGCTATTCCGGAAAAACTACTCTGCTCCTGCTCAGGTATAAGTCCTTATTCTGGAACACTGTTCTGGAAAAGGGCCAGTGTAGACAGCCCAGTAGTCTTTCCCGGAAAAAAGCCCCGAGCGCGAAAATGGCGATCGGGGCTCTTTTCCAGAAAAGCACGTCTACATTGGCCACAGACGCTTTTCCGGAAAAGCAGCCTGCCAATGTAGACGCTCCTTTTCCGGAAAAACTGAAAACAGAATAGTATTCCGTTTTAAGCAGTTCCGGAAATTCATGCCAGTGTAGACACAGCCTGGGAGTGTAATCTGGATTCTGTTTTGGCTTATGCATCTTCAACAGACATTTTTAAGGTTCATTTGCAAAAGTCTTATTACTGGAAGTATGAGGTGAAAAGAACCCAGCGTGACTCTGAGGGCAGATGAATTAGCAACTAGGAAGATAAAAATGAGCTTTGCATTTGTAAGATGAGCACACTCCATATGCAGGTCACTAGCACAAAACACACAGCCCTACAAAGCTGATTTATAGTCACTTTTTGAGCGTACTTTGGCACTTTTTAGCTAAATCCTCCTACTCAAGCAAGGGCCTGTGGAAGGTCTTTGAAGCACTGGGACTGTCGCAGTCTGCTCCACGCAGAAAGGGAGGCTGTGCAAGGGATCTCCACACCCTACAGACCCACAGAGGGAAGACTTCAGGGGCATGGTCAGTGATGCCATGACTCTGTTGGTCTACTGGCTTAAACACTCATGACACAGGCTTTTTAGTGTATTACTGCTGCTACTTCAGCACAAACTTCAGTAGTGGTTCTGGAGCAGCTGCACAGGTTCCCTGTGTGTTCTGCTTCCAGCACTGGAGGTGGGGAAAGGGTTCCAAACACTCTTCCCCTCCCAATCCCAATCCATGGTCCCCAACTGCAAATTTCCCATAGACAGAAATTAGATTCCTTAGATAGGTGTGAAGACCAGGCTCCATAAAGAAGTGTTCTTGACCTTCCCAGATGACTTGTACCCCTTATAGCTATCTGATTTGTCTTGTGTACCCCCAGGCTTCACCTCATTTAAACTGCTTACTTACAAGATCAGAAATAAAAACACACACCACAGCATGCTGTTACTGAAAAATTGCTGACTTTATCATTTTTACCATATGATTATGAAATAAATCAGTTGGAATATAAATATTGTACTTACATTTCAGTGTATGATGTATAGAGCAGTGCAGACAAGTCACTGTATGAAACCTTAGTTTGTACTGACTTTGCTAGTGTTTTTATATAGCCTGTTGTAAAACTAGGGAAACATCTGTATGAGTTGATGTACCCCCTGGAAAATCTCTGGGCTCTCCCAGGAGAACGTGTTTGCCTGACTACATGTTTTGATAGTCTTTCAAGTGCTACTAGACTATTTGTTGTTGTTTCTTTAACTTTAAACATTACTGTGTTTTCCTAAAATCCTTTTTGATTCCATAGCTACATGGTAGGTTAAGTACTAGTGTTCTGCTCTAGGGCTGTAATTTCAAAATCTATAAATCCAGTACATCATGTGCTTACTGAATGCATCTCCATGGGTTCATATGGCATCTCCCTCCTCTCAACTACACAGATTTGTGTAGTCCCATTTAGAGAAACTTAAGCTTATGTATCGGTCATTGAGATAGTATCATGTTTCCACTAAGCCATGAAGTGCTTCCCTCATTCAGTCAGCTTGTCAGTTGTGTAGAATACACTACAAAGTCTGTTTGGCATCTCTAGTGAATCTAAAACACTCTCCAGTCTTCTAGGCCCATCAGATCCTTGGTTCTTGTCCATGTTCGGCTCAGCTGTCTAATGTTGGGCATAAAGTAATAATCCCCTGGTCACTTTGGAATATTTAATAAAGCCCAACTTTTCTCTCTCCAGGGCCACACAAAGAAAATGAATTTCTTCAAAGTGGGGAAATACTTTACATTGGTGGACATGCCAGGCTATGGCTACAGAGCTCCCCAAGACTTTGCTGACATGGTGGAAGCCTATTTACAGGAGCGTCGGAAGTAAGAGAGCTATTGCATACTGCCATATTTGCTCTGCAATCTCACAGAGCATCAGGACAGAGGAATGTGGGTGTTTGCACAGATTATACAAAAAGTGGAAGAGTGAAGTGTACATATCAAGAAGTTATTGCCAACAATGGAGTGGACTGTATTAGATCCTGGTATAAATGGGAGAGAGGCTAATCTTAGCTCTGGGGTAATGCATAAGTTGGATTCTGTTAAATCTTTAACTGAAATGTTAAGGTTTGTTTGCAGAAGTCTTACTACTTTTGAATTGGTGGCATTTCTGTTTTTTGAGTCCTGTTTCAAAGCTTGGATGATCAAAGCACTGGAATGATCAAAGGACTGGAAAATATTCCCTTTAGGTCAGGGGTAGGGAACCTCAGGTCCGGGGGCTGGATGCGACCTCCAGGGCTCATGGCTTCTCCTCCCAGCATTGGGGAGCCTGTGCCTATTGTGGGGCTGGACCACACAAAATCTACTAGCCCCACTGGGCTGTAGTGTGCAAGGGGAATGTGGGGAGTGTCTTTCGCCTTCTCAGTCAGGGGCCACGTCAGCAGGGTTTGTCCCTTTTTTGTGTGTGCGTGCAGCTGGTTTCTCACTTGTGTGTGGCTCCTGGCTGATTTTTCTGAGGGTCAGCTGCCCTCGACCCAAAAAAGGTTCCCCGCCCCAGCTTTAGGTGTTACCCTATATTGACGCCTCTCAGGATGAATTAGATGGGGTTAATTCTCCTTTTCCCATCTCCAGATTCTATGAGGTAGCTAGTCAATTCTCTTGGTAGTTAAGGCAGAAACAATTGCTGTTGCATTGCCCCTCACCTGTGTTACTACCTTCATCTTTGTTAGCTTGAAGAGGACATTCTTATTAGTGGACAGCTTGGTAGGATTTCAAAAAGCAGACCACATCGCCATAGAAATGTTGAAGGAGTTTGGGATCCCTTATGCTGTAAGTTACACTTTCTCTTTACAACAAAAACTAAATCAAACATTTAAACTGTCCAGCATCAAGGGCATTTTACCTTCAGCTAGATGAACCTCAACAGTAGAGCTCTAGTAGTGGGTTAAAGGTGATCTGCATTGGAGAAAAAAAAATTGTGTCCCTTTTTTAATTCATAATTTATGGGGAGGTCTGACAATCTGTGTGCACTTTATTATTATTGGGGATTTTTTAGGTTTGGATTTTCAAAATTGATCTTATTTTTGGTGCCCAGTTTGATATCCCTTAGAGTTGTGATTTGAATGTTAGGTGCTCAGCATTCATATACTAGCATCCCATTTAGGGAGGCCATGAAGCAGTTTCAAGATGATGCATCTTGGCAAATATTTCTACATTTACAGTAAAGCAACATTCTTTTTTTCTCCCTAACTCTTATCTTTATGGGTCTGTGCAGCTGGTGTTAACCAAAATCGACAAAGTTCCCAAAGGACTGTTGGTTAAAAATGTACTAGAGATCCAAGACTTTGCAGAGAAACGAATGCATGGGTGCTTTCCTCAACTCTTCCCAGTAAGGTAAAGCTCACTGCTACTGATGCATTACTTTTAAACGCTTGGGGTAGGGAGGAGGAGAGGGGAGAACAAACTCACTGAAAGGTATGACATGCTGACTCTGCCTTATGTGAGGGGGAATCCCTTTAGAGAGGAGAGAAGAGGTAAGCTTTTAAGTCCCACTTTTCATTTGTTTTTTCAGATGAGACTGGCAGAAGCAGCACAATATGATGGTGGGCCATGCGGTGTGAGTTAGGGAAGTTAAAAGGCATTTAATCAGCTAATCAAACAGTCAATGGAATTTCAATTGACAAGTCGATTAGTTGATAAGGCAGGAGGGACTGCAGAACCTCAGTGTGGCTAACTCCCAGCCCTGGGAGCTAACCCTGGTGTGGCTCTGCATTGTAAATGTATTAAGAGCGTCAGGCTTTTAATACATTCAAAAGGCTGAAGCTTAGTGGGGTGGGGACCAGGTGCTAGCTGGGAATCAGCTGATTTCTGGCTCATGCCTGGTCTCCTGCTACACTTCTGCCTCCCTGTTGAGTCACTAGTTGCTTACATCCCTAGTTTGCATGCCTGAGACCACCAAACTCATTTTAAACAGACCACATATGGGCAATATCTTGGGGCCAGGTTTGTAATGATAGTTGCTTTCTTATGCATCAGAAGGATAGTACTTGCAATTATGCTGTCCCATACAAATTAATGCTACTTTGCCCTACGACTGTACACAAAATATCCCCTCTGCATGTGAGTGGGAATGGACAGAGGCTAACATGCAGTTCTGCTCTGAAAGATTAAGCTAAATGGCACCTTTGTGTAATTGCTTTGCTTCCTGAGTTGTAACTTTAACTTTGGAATTCTTATCCTGTTAGTCTATACAACTCGGGGAGAGGGAGCTGGGTTCTGTTTTGTATCCAACAGAACAGGTAGCCAGTTTCCAATTTCAGGCCCAGATCTGCCCTTGGTTAAATCTGTACCACATTACTGAACCCAGCTGCATGGTACAAATGTACAGAATGGAATTTGGCATATAGAATCTTGGATAGGTTGGCGGCTGTGTTGGAAAGAATCCAGCTTGACTTTCAGCTTCTGGGGTGGGACTGTGGCAACTTAAAAAAAATCTTTGTGTAAATAGAGCAAGGTTGATGCTGACAAGTATGTTAAGGCCCAGAGCCACAAAGCTCTTGGAGCCGCCACCCAGCTCTCACTATATTTAAAAGGCAGGGCTGCAGCAGTTCCGGTCCCAGTTTGTGCTGGCTCTGGGAGCCACTTGTGCTGTGGCTCTGTATTTTAAATGTAGTGAGAGCTGGGAGGCAGCTCCAGGAGCTACCCCCACTGTGGCTCTGCAGAGTGCCTCCCCTTATTGACTACACAATTAGCCAAATACCCACTCCTTAATATCCTTACCCTAGACCTGTGCTTTTAGTATCAGATCTGCTTTCCAAGCGTCACTGTGCCCTTATTTATTTCATATTATGTGGTCTTAGGATTCTTTTAATGGGGGGAAATCCCGTGTAACATTCTTCCCTTTTAAAAAACAGTTGCTGCAGAGAGCGTGAGTAAAAAATATTAAACATCTTGTTTTGACTGTCTTGTGAAGTTAAATTTTTATCAAGATTTGCTGCATTCAAGCATCAGTTGCAGAGTATAGCAGCAACTGGTTTTCATTACTGCAGCACTAAACTAAATGGAAGAATTAACACCAAATTTCACTTCTGGTTTTCATTACTGCAGGGCTAAACTAAATGGAAGAATTAACACCAAATTTCTCCAATAGAAAATGTTTAGGGCATCACTCAGCTATGACTTTAAACTGTTCTGAATCTGTATATTTGCACGAGAAAGACAGGTCTGTCCTTCTACCCATAACCAAATGAAGAGAAGTTGATGTACAATAACATTGTTCACTGATTCTACTCTGTGATTGTGCAGTGGGTAGAGTTAAAGCTGATACAGGATCTGTTGTTCCACAGCAATCAGGAAATTTTAAATTATATTTTAAAATGTATCAAGCAACTAGCTGACTTTGAAGTTACCCAATACTTAGAGAGATGGGGGCAGCTTAACAAAATTAGATACCTGCATTTAAAAGGAAGCAAGGACCTGAACATGTCAATATGTTTCCACAGTTCCATAGAGTATTCTGGTATCCACCTGCTAAGGTGTTTTGTAGCCCATGTTACAGGAAACTTTCCCTTGATGAATTCCTGACAGACATACCTCTCCCATTTCACAACTCATCTGATATATACTACTCATCCAGCATAACAGGTACCAAACATATTGCTCTGAGTATTGCTTTTTGCTTTGTAAATATAAAATAGAAATTATATGGGGCTTCGTAATAAATTTTCATTGGCAAGTTAAGGAAGAGTAAATGATTGAGAATGTTGTTTGATTTTTTTTCAGATTAATTTATTGGTACTAGTTTAAACTGACAATGAAAAAAATTGTAAAGGCTATGTTTTTATAAGCTGCTGCTTGTTTCCCCTTTAAGATGACGTTAACTGTGAACCAGCTTTTTAAATGAAAGCTTAAATGTTAGAACGTAGCTGTATAGCAAGAGAGAAACATCAGAATGTGAGTGGCTTTGGCTATAGCAAGATCCACAATCCACTAATCAGATGTGACTTCTCTTTTTACCTATATATCTATATTAAATCCATAGGGTCATCCTATGGAATGTGAACATGTTGATATATGTTTTTAGTTGTAAGGCTGTTGGTGAAAAGGACAAAGAAAGCATGAAACTCTTTCCTGATGTATTGCTGTAGGAGGGCTTCCTAGCTGGAGGTGGAAAGGATTTATCCTTTAAGAAGTTGAGGACGATGTCTCATGTACGGGCTGCATGGAGTTGTGTGGTACCTCTGCAAGAGGTAACTTCACTCTGTGCCCCAAAAGCAAATTACTCTACTGTAATAAAAAATCACTGAGTGGTGAGGGCTCTCCAGCACCTCCATCAGTTGCTGAGGTAAAGAAAAAAGCTATGACTTTGTGCTTTTGTTTAATAGTGAGGTGAATAATACTGATTTGACAGCAATTGATGAACTGGCAAACTGCTGGAAGAATTAGTACTTACAAAAGTATTTGTTGTTGTAGAGGGGGGTGAGCAATAAGTGAGCTGGATGTGGTTCACTAGGACCCTCGCAAGCTCCCAGATGCTTTATTTACGTGCACATCTGCAGGTAGGGCTGCTGACAGTGGCTGGCATTCACTATTCCTGGCCAATGAAAGCTGTGGAAAGCAACTGTCCAGCCCGCAGGTCCATTGGCCAGGAATGGCAAACTGCAGCCAAAGGGGGCTGCGAGCAGCCGTACTTTCAGACATGCAGGTAAGTAACATGTCGGGTGGCCTGTCATGGGCTCACTCTGGTGAACAGTATCCAGCCTGAGGCCCACTTATTGCCTAAGCCTGCCTTAGAGAGACGTCTTGAGTATTTTAAGGGAGGAAAAAATCATTTTTATTTTTTTTAGCACTTTGGATCTCTCAGGGGAGAAGCCAAAATCCTTTAATGACTGATATGCAGTGAACTTCCATGACAAGTGAGACAGATGTTACATATCAAAATCACAGTACACTAACTGCTGGCAAAAATCTTTAATAAACACCTTTAACAGAGACTGATACACATGTAAACTGTATCTTTAAAAATTAGTAAGACTTTATATACACACATACACTTAGGACTAACAACTCTCAGACAGCATGTGATGGCACAGATCCTGTAGTCCTTGTACATATATAGCTAGCCTTGGATTGACTGACTTGGGGGAGTTCATAGTGGAAAGGAATGCAGGACTGGACCACGTTAATTGTGCTACAGGGAAAAGAAAAAAAAAAGCGTAAGTGAAGGCTTCCATGCAACAGTTAAGTGGATCAGCTTGACTTTTATATTGGGCTAGGATTTGTTTCAGGCCATCCAAGAGATCTTCAGATAAATTCTTCAAACATACATCAGCTTTTGCATCATACTCAGCCAGGTATTTCTAGAAAGAGAATGTTAGGTGAGATTTCCAACTTAAACCTAAAAAATACATGTCTTCTGTGTCAGCACCATGTTCATCTTGTATCACCAACCACATCAGTGGTATCAGGCCATTTATCCATTGTTTAGAAGTTAAAACTGGGTTCTTCAATAAAAAGTTAGCCAACTAAGCTCCACTTGATAGTAAAACTAGAGAGGTTAAGAAGCAGTGTCTTTTACTGTAGCATGCCACTAAGCTTCATAAGTTCTTAGGGCTTAAATCTGATCCCCAGGAGTTCTTGTGATTGAAAGATGAACCTGTGTTGCCTGTTGAATAATCGTGACTACACAAAAGTGAACCTGCTCTTGAGGGAGGTTTGCATGGCAGAACACTGAAGAACTATGGATAATTTGAACCCTTGTAAATGTCTGCAATTCTCTTTGCTCTGTTAGATCATGCCACTTAAGTCTGTTAATAAGTGGGGAGTGGTTGGTGGTTTTATTTTTTGCTATGTCATGATACAAACTTTGAGAGAAATTCAAGCTTCATTTAATTGGGGACAGAATTTCACTCTTATTAACTAATGATAGAAATGTGGAAACACCTAAGCATGCCTCCTCTCTGTCCTATTCACCTTCCCATTGAATGTGTATTTCAGATTTAGTTTGGAAACATGCAAACTTGCACTTAGATTAGTGTCCTAACCAGTTACCTTCCCCAGACCTCAAGGAACACCATGAAGTTCATAAGCTTGTCCCTTTCACCAACAGAAGTTGGTTCCATAAATTTTACCTCAAGTAGCTTGTCTCTTAATGGCTTAAGCATTTCCTCTCACTACAAGTATATTTGCATTTTAGAATGGGGTTTGATGTTCTAATACTGTTGTTAATTTACATAGCAAATAACACCCAGTTCCTGGCTTTAAGCCCTCTTGATTAAAATAGTTTTCTCACTGTGAGGACGGAACTGATATTAGGGAGTCAGTTCTATTCCTGCTTCTGTCTCTATCCTCTTGGGCCCCTCTTTGTGCCTGTTTTCCCCTGACACATTGTGTTGCTTACTTAGAACATACACTTTTTGGGACATTGGCAATCTCTGTACAGCACCTACTACAACAGGTTGGGACCTCTAACTGCTACTGTAATGCAAGCTATAAGTCACAGCCCTCCCTTTGCAAATTGGTTAATGCTACAGGAGAAGCTATTGTCAAGGCATCTTTCTAGCATGTGGGTCTTAAACAGAAGATCTGAACAAACTTGGGCTGTCAAGCAATTAAAAAATTGAATCATGATTAATGGTGTGCACCTCCCCTTGAAACACCACTGCAGTACTACATGGAGCCCAGGGTCAGCGCATCACCACAGTGGTGCATCAAAGGGGCAGCACAATACAGAGCCCAGGATCAGCTGGAGTACCCAGCCAGGGTCAGCCCAAGCCCTTTTGGCATCTTGGACCCAGGCTCACGGCACATATGCGGGCCCGCCCTCTCCTCCCCCCGGGTGCACGGGCCCACCTCTGGGGCACACAGCTCATGTGCGCGCAGCCTGGGGCCCACAGCGCATGCGCTGCCCAGCCCAGCCTAGTCAGTGCTGCTGGCGTGTGCGCCGGGCCGTGCAGGGCCCCGCAGCTGTGGGGGGAAGGGCGCTGGTGGCCGGGGGCCCCGGGGTGGCGTGCTGGGGCAGCATTTCCAACAGGCAGTGCAAAGCTGAGCCCAGGGTCAGCTGAGGACTCCAGCTGATCCCAGGCTCCATGTAATGCTGCCCCACTACCCCTTTGCTACCCCATAACAGCTGATCCTGGGCTCAACCCTGTGCCCAGCTGATCCCAGGCTCTGCATTGCACTGCCCCTTGGAAGCCAGGGATCAGCTGGGTACTCCGATAAGTCAGCCAACTAGTAGATTCTTGCCCCCTCTTCCTTTGCTGCCTCTTTCAGCTAGATCCCCCTATCTGCCCCTTTGATGCACCATCTGCGGCTCAGGTGTGCTGCCCCTTTAAAACACTGCCTTACCTCTATGGAATCTACATGAAAAGCCCTCATCTCCAGTACATGGTACAAATTATCAAGCAGTTTCATTTTCTCTGCACTTACTGTCCTCACCGCAACCTGGTATCAGAGGAATATGAACATGGTCCCTTAATTGCATACCCAGGCCAAGGAGAAACACTTTCATTATAAGGTTCACAATGACATAAATGTTAGAAAAACTGAACAGGCTGAATAATTTAAATCCAGGTAATCTAAAAAAACACTAAGTGGAAAGCCTTTATTTAAATCTATGCTGACCAACTTTTCCTTTTGTACTTCAGTTTCTTTCTAAAGGAAGATAGACCGTCATTGGTTGTCACTATTAAAATGTAAATCTACAACTAGAGCCTTTTCACTAAAATGAATACATATTTAAGCAATTATGTATCTTAATTTCAGACTAAGTATACATTTAATATATTAAGCAATATTTACCATTTTCTAGATAATTCACTTTTTGCTCGTGATTTCTCAAGCTGCATTAGGATAGAAACTGGAATTTAAACAAACAGCAGACGAAGTGTTTTACACAATCACCTTAAATGGTTTGGCTATATAATCTTTTATCAAAAGATGTTCTACATTTACAACTGAAACAGATTAAATGTATTCAGTGAATTTAACTGAGTAAATCTGAAGGTGTTGCACTTTTTCTGATATTCATATAATTCAGTCAGAGCTTCACTGAGGCCCTTGTTGGTTGCAGTCTCAATTAGGTTTTTATGCATCTATAGATCTTTCAGTTTAGTTGCACTTTTTTTTTATCCTTCTGCAGCTTCCTAAGGGGTCATCAACGCGTTCCTGGGACTAAGTTTACCAAGCAATAAAGTCCTACAACTTGCTGGGATAGTGGACCTCATGCCAGCAGAGGAATACAGGCAAATCTGAAGAATTCTCCCTATAAGAGAATCAAAGCAAGGCCTCAGAAGGACAAACTTCACTAGTAAACATTATCGATCTCCCCTCCCCCGAAATTATCAATATAATCAAAAAGGCAACTGTTTAAAGAGCTGACAAGTAGCAGAGGACCTCACAAGTCTGTTTTAAAAGGCAAAGCAACTGTTCCTCGGTAGAGTTGACCTACAACAGCATGGCAAAACCGTGTGGAATGGGAGAGGACCACACATTACCAGAGATACCCCTAACTATTAAATACCTTTAATAAAATAAGTAACTCTTTAAAGGTTTCCCATTTCTTCCTTTGCTTTCTAAGAGGAGCCATTGTTATCACTGGCAGCCTCTCTCACAGCCCCCAATCTGAGTGGGGTTCAGAATGACTTAGCAAGAACTATGTAGAAAAGCAAGAAGCAACACTTCTCTCCTGTATCCATTAGATCAGTGATTCTCAACTGGGGTCCAGGAACCCCTGGGTGGGCTGTAATAAGGTTAGGTGTGGGGAGGTGGAATCCGGCAAACTAGACTAGGGTTAGACTAGCTGAGACTACCTACAAGGAATTTGGTTACTGGCCTTGTAATAAACAAGAGAAAATTAGTCTACAGGCAGTCCCCGACTTACGCGGATCCGACTTATGTCGGATCCGCACTTACGAACGGGGCTTTCTCGCCCCGGAGGTCGAGGTGGCGGATTGCTACCTGCGAGCTCCGGGGCGAGAGAGCCCCGTTCGTAAGCTGCTCCGGTGCCCCTGGTCTGCTGGAGACCGTCTCCAGCAGACCAGGGACACCGGGCGGGTTCCCGCGCTTCTGAGGCTTTGCTCTGGCAAAGCCTCAGAAGCACGGGGAACCGCCGTAAGTCAGAACTGGCGGTCAGTTTCAGCAGCGGCTGAATCTGGACGCCAGTTCCGACTTACATACAGATTCAACTTAAGAACAAACCTACAGTCCCTATCTTGTACGTAACCCGGGGACTGCCTGTATATGAGGTTTTAAAATAACATCCATGGTAGATGTGTAGGAAAAGAATAGTTACTACTTTTCATTTCTCTAGCATCTTCCCTTCAAGGATTTCAACCCACTTCAAAGAAGATAATGAATGTATACTCACTTGTGCAATCGGGAAGTATTACTGATGGAAAATTAGGGAACAGGAGTAGGGCCCAAATTTTTAAAGGTATTTAGGTAAAGTGGTAGAAAGGCACTTTTGAGAATTGCCACTAGATGCCTATACACGCTAAGTATGTAAACCTCCCCAAACTCCTCCAGTTTCAATGGAAGTTAGATGCCCAGCATACTTAGGTGCTTTTTGAAAATCTCATAGGTGGTTCTCTGCATCTTCAGCACATAAATATCTTTGGAACTGGCCTTATCTAGTCAAAAGTCAGTAATAGAGCCTGGAACAGAACTCATATTTCTCTGTCAGTTTCAGGAATCTTTTTATAAAAGAAAAATGCCAAAAATTCATTTTCATAGCAAAAAGTAAATCTGAATAAACATTGGGAAATATTTTTATATTTAATCTGGATAAACTGATTACTTTTGTTGGAGAAATACAAACTTTTTCATTTAACAGATGAAAAGGATCATTTTCCTTATTCATGGAGTAAAAATATATAAATATAATATACTCTCCCTGTTTTCCAGTGAGAATATAAAGCTTTTGTAGTTATATATTTAATGTCCTTTCTGTAAAAATATTAAATTCATTTTTATGGTCTGGGGCCTAAGTGTGTCATAATCTGGCTCTGATCATAGAATACTAGGACTGGAAGGGACCTCGAGAGGTCATCGAGTCCAGTCCCCTGCCCTCATGGCAGGACCATATACTGTCTAGACCATCCCTGATAGACATTTATCTAACCTACTCTTAAATATCTCCACAGACGGAGATTCCACAACCTCCCTGGGGAATTTATTCCAGTGTTTGACCATCCTGACAGGAACTTTTTTCCAATGTCCAACCTAAACTTCCCTTGCTTCAGTTTAAGCCCATTGCTTCTTGTTCTATCCTCAGAGGCCAAGATGAACAAGTTTTCTCCCTCCTCCTTATGACAGACACCCTTTTAGATACCTGAAAACTGCTATCATGTCCCCCTTCAATCTTCTCTTTTCTAAACTAAACAAACCCAATTCTTTCAGCCTTTCTTCATAGGTCATGTTCTCTAGCCCTTTAATCATTCTTGTTGCTCTTCTCTGGACCCTCTCCAATTTCTCCATATCTTTCTTGAAATGCGGTGCCCAGAACTGGACACAATACTCCAACTGAGGCCTAACTAGCACAGAGTAGAGCGGAAGAATGACTTCTCATGTCTTGCTCACAACACACCTGTTAATGCATCCCAGAATCATGTTTGCTTTTTTTGCAACAGCATCACACTACTGACTCATATTCAGCTTGTGGTCCACTATAACCCCTAGGTCCCTTTCTGCCGTATTCCTTTCTAGACAGTCGCTTCCCATTCTGTATGTGTGAAACTGATTGTTCCTTCCTAAGTGGAGCACTTTGCATTTGTCTTAATTAAACTTCATCCTGTTTATCTCAGACCATTTCTCCAATTTGTCCAGATCATTTTGAATTATGACCCTCTCCTCCAGATTAGTTGCAACCCCTCCCAGCTTGGTATCATCTGCAAACTTAATAAGCATACTTTCTATGCCAATATCTAAATCGTTGATGAAGATATTGAACAGAGCCGGTCCCAAAACAGACCCCTGCGGAATCTCACTTGTTATACCTTTCCAGCAGGATCGTGTGCCATTAATAACTACTCACTGGCTACGTCTACACTGGCGCGTTCTCACTCAAAAACTCTTTTGCAGAAGAGTTCTTCTGCAAAAACTCTTCCAGAAGAGAGCATCTACAGTGGCATGTGCTTTTGCGCAAGAGATGTGCTTTTGCTCAAGAGCATCCATGCCAGTGTAGACGCTCTCTTGCGCAAGAAAGCTCTGATGGCCATTTTAACCATGGGACTTTTTTGTGCAAGAAATTAATGTTGCCTGTCTACACTGGCCTCTTGCGCAAGAACAGTTGCGCAAAGGAGCTTATTCCAGAGCGGGAGTGTCAGAGTTCTGGCACAAGAAGCCCTGATTTCACACATTAGAACGTCAGTTTACTTGCGCAAGAACACACGGCCAGTGTAGATGCGCAAGAGCGGCCACTTTTGCGTGAGATCGTGCCAGTGTAGACACAGCCTCTGAGTACGGTTATCCAGCCAGTTATGCACCCACCTTATAGTAGCCCCATCTAAGTTGTATTTGCCTAGTTTATTGATAAGACTATCATGCGAGACCATATCAAACTTTACCTTACTAAAGTCTAGGTATACCACATCCACGCTTCTCCCTTATCCACAAGACTCATTATCCTATCAAAGAAAGCTATCAGATTGGTTTGACATTATTTGTTCTTTACAAATCCATTCATCATAACAATGAATCTCTTCACACCAAGGCCACAAGAAATAACCACAACCTTCCTCCTCTCAGTTACATCAGCATAAGTGTACTTTGTGATTAGTAGCACATACATTGCTTGAGGTATATGTAAGCTGGTTCTGCTTGTGTCCTGAACTCTAAGGGGAAACAGGGAGGCCTCACCACTGGAAGATGAGCTCTGTTTCATCTTGTTTAAGCTGCAAGACAAAGCACTGTCAGCCAAGAAACCTACAAAAGGAAAACAGAAAATACTGATTTTACAGGTCAGACAGAACAGCTAATGGAGTACCCAGTTGGGAGAATGAACCTAATCCAGAAATAGGAATGGAGGAAACAACAGCATAGTGGGTGCTAAATAAGTCCCCCATATGAATTGGTCTCCATCTCTGAGGGTACTATGTAGCCATTCCGATCTATCTGTACACCTCATTCCACGAGGCGTACAGATAGTTCGGAATAACTACATAGTTCGAACTATCTAGCCCGTGCCGTGTGTAGCCGCGCGGCACGGGGTTCGAACAAGCTGGCTTTTAAAAATGGCGGAGCCGGCTTTATGCTAATGAAGCCCGGGAAATTCAAATCCCGGGCTTCATTAGCAAGTTCGGTATGCATACATTACCACCCTAGTTCGAACTAGGGGGGTAGTGTAGACATACCCTGAGATTCTTCAGTTTGGGCTTGCGAAAATGACTCTCTGACTGAGCCCAGTTTTGGTTTGTTTAAATCTTTTTACAGACTGACGGAAACATGGCCCATCACATCCACCCTTTATCAAGACCCTTTCTCCCCCAAACCTCACACATCCCTTGGTCCTTTCCTTCAATAAAAACATACCCATTTTTTAAATTCTTTAAGTGGGGCTGCAAGGGGACCATTCCTAAAACCAGATTTCACTCCACAATCCCCTATTTCCTGGTAGAGAAGAAAAGTTCTTGTCTCCAAAAAGGCTGAATTAAGAAAGAGGCTTTAGGGGCTGCAGCCCTGGGTTAAGGGGGCCTTGCAAAAAGATCTCCAGGCTGCCAAAAATGCAGATCTTTTTGCAGGGTCATCTTGGCCTGGGCTACAGCCACTAAAAGCCCGTGTTCTATCCCTGCCTGGCAGGGGATGCGGGTTGGGACAGTGGATGTAGCTCTGCACGCTGCCTTTCTTCCTCCTGTTCTCTCTGGGCTGGAGTTGTAAATGCCAGATAGCTCCATCTGTGTGCTTCCCTCATCTGCAGGCTCTGCCGCTCAAACTTCCATTGGAGAGGAATTGCAGGGCAGCATGCAGAGCCACCTGCCCCCTCCCATCTTCAGGGTATGCACTTCCAAAGGGGAGCAGGCCCAGGAAGGTGCCCCACACCCCAATTCTCCTGCCCCAGCCCTGAGCCCCTTCCTATACCCTAACTCCCTTATAGATCCTGTACCCCTACTGCTTGCTCTGAGCCCCCTCCTGCATTCCAAACCACTTAGCCCTAGCTTGGAGCCCGCTACTACACCCCAAAAGCCTCATCCTCAGCTCTACCTGAGCCCAAAACCACATTCAGAGTCCTGACCCCTCCCCCATGCTGAGCCCCTCATTTTTAGCCCCTCCCCAGAGCCTAGGGGCCTCTCAGGAGACTTAATCTGGGCTTGGTCCCTGATACTCCTCAGGAGGCACCTGCTCTCTTTCTACCGCCAAATGTGCAGCAAAGGACACAATTCACAGCATTCTTTAACCAGCCAAAGAGACACCTGTGTAATTGCACCAGCAAAAATAAAGTACCCAGCCCCAGGAGAACAGGCATCCCATTAAAAGCATTCAGCTCTCCAGCACGGGACCAGATAGGAACCAGAACATAATGCAATAGCTTCATTGCAATAGAGTGGCAGCATCTGTAAACCATGGCTTTAAAAGTTTGGTCTCCTTCACCCACTCCCCTTTACAGAGAGCAGAAGAAAAGTTCTGGGGTATCAAATCCATCCCCCCAGCTGAAGTGCTATGCCCATGAGAGCCCCTAGAAGGGAAGGGTTCTTCCCTAGAGCTGAGGCTGTCCATGACAGAACCCCTCACGACCCAAGAACAGCTCCGTTTTAGGGGTGGGAAGATTCCAGGGGACATTTATATGGCACCCCCTTTACAACCTCTGAGCGCCACTGAAGGAGTCAGTCTGCAGGGCAGAGGTGTAGCCAGCTCATTTTTGACACCTCATTAATACGTATAAGCAATCATTAATATGTATGAATTGTAATGAATATGTAGTAGCTGTTAGGCATGTTAATATAGAAGTTTCTAGGAGTGTTGCACACGGCACGCAAGTAGCTGCACATGTCACACTGTGCTGCTGCATGCAGCACACTGATCCAGGCTGTTACAACTTGTTTATCAAAGCACCCAATCAGGGACCCTTGTTTTCCTGTACAGGGTCCAATGATTTTAAAGATAAAGATCATGAATATTTATGAGAAGGGTGCTTTGAAGGCCTGGCTAACAGTTGTGTGTGTTTGTTCACGCCTCCCTTGTTCCTGCTTGTCTCCTGTATGTTTATGTCAGTCTATAGTTAGTTAGGGTTAGCTAGATTTTATCATCAAGTGTGTCTGTTAGGATTAGTGCATTGGTTCACTGCACCAGCGGCTGGGTACTTGTCCGTGACGGGAGCGTCGGGTTAGCTAGCTAGGTTTTGTGGCAAGTATAGGGAACAGGTACAGCTCGTCGATCACTTAGGTAGCTGTCTATCATCGGTTCCTGCTGAAGAGCAGAAGCCACCTGAAGATCAGCGCCAGGCAAGTCTCCACCAGTGATTCCTGCAATCTAGGAGCGCAAGGCCCCAGATGAGGATCATCACCACCTGCCTGCACCACACCCGTCCCCAGGGTCTCCGAGGGATCGCCTCTCTGTTCCTCACTGAGGGCTCGGAAGGAGCCTAAGGCTTGAGGTCGAGAGCACCGCAGAGGGTCACCGTTGTGAGGGATCTCCTCGTCTTTCACCAGAGGCTTTAAATTAGCCAAAGGTTTGAGAGACAGGAGCTTCTCACCCACTGTCAACTACTGGACTGTGTAATTATTGTATTTTGTGTAACCTTGTGTTTGTGGGGTACTTTTCTATCTTCTTTCCTTCTTGAGGTTGGGCTAAAAAGTGTTTACCTGCTTTTCCTTGTTGTGCTTTTAAAACTTTTACAATATATGGTTTGGCCCTTTTAAAGAGCAATGTTTTTGTTTACTGTGGCATGCTTGGGTCAGCAAACACCTATGATAGATGAGGTTTGGTGGTATCTGCAACTTCCACTGAGGCTTAATTAATAATCAGATGCAAATGTAGGTACAAGCTTTCCTCAGTGCAACAGAGGGCTGCATTCCCCAGAGGCAATGTTCCCTCTATTTTGTTCCACCAGTGCCGAATTAATTTTGTTATGTACACCAAGTCATTGTAAAGATGTGCACCGCCCATAAAAACACACGCTGCCAGCTGTGGGTGCTCTGCTAGTCAGCTGGGCAGCGTTTGAATCTTTACTGGGCAGCCACCCAGCTTACAGGGAAGACTGCCCAGAGGATGGGAGTTATCCCCCTCCCCACCACTAAACACCAGGCGCATTAGGGGGCTGGGTCCTACTCCCTCCTGCCTGGGCCACAGAGGTTCCCCAGCAGCCCCTCTCCCAAATCCCTGCCCGTTGTACGGGCCTGCGGTGCCCGGGCTGCAGGGATATTCCTAGCCAGGAAGGCTCTCCCCCAGCCCCGCTTGCCCCCCTGCGGATCCCCCCCCCCCCACAACTAACACCCGGGAGCG